TAGGGGTGGAAAGATTACAAAGTGTTAAAAACACAGATTAAGTTGCTTTTCTAGGCCATCCTTTTTGCAATTCATTTGATGGTGAGATGAAAGCATTTGTTAGTGCTGTTAATGGGGGAAAAAACCATTGAAACCTGTAAGGAATTTTTGTGAGTTTATTTGAGCCAAACTGTGGACATATGCCGGGAAGCAGAACCTCAACGAATTGAGATCATGCTCCAGAGAATGGCGGGGTTACATCTGTATTTATACATTTGCAATCAAAGGAGGGATGTAGGTGGGTTACATGAAATCCATTGGTGATAGATTAAGGAGGAGGGATAAAGCAAAGCAGGGAAACCCCTGGGATTGGATAAAAAGTAAAATGATGGACACATACTTAGGTGGGTGCAGGATCAATTAACATGATAATGAAGGAATTTGTGGTATCTGTCCTGGCGCCCAGCACATTTGGTTGTGCCCCAAGGGCTCCAGAAAAAGGGAAGTTACAAGTTCCCAGACATTTCCAGGGTATGTTATCAGAGATGCAAAAGGAGAGACAGGCTCAGTTAAGGTAAAGGTTGACCTTGTCAATGAAGATACTGGCCTAGGACGTAACTGCCCACCATACCTGCTTTTAAAGTTTAATTTCAGACCATCCTTTGTGGTGACTGTAGGTCTCTGAGTTTGCAAGACGGCCATGCAGGCCTCCCCTGAGCTTGTCAGGTCAGCATGTGGCCCCTTTCGTCCACAGTGCAGATCCGTGAAGGAGCCTGGGGCTCAGTTGCCAGAAACCTTTGTGCCTCTGAGCAAGTGGAGCATCAACTAAAGAACAAACCTGGCTGTGGGGACCGGGAAACTTTCCCTGGACAGGTTCCTGCAGTGAGAGGCAGTGGTCGCCATGGAGACAGTGCCCCTCACCCTGGAAGCTGGGAGGAAAGGGCATCCTTCACGAGGTGGAGTCAGGGAGGCTCAGAGGAAGGGGCTGGGGAGGTAGGAGGACAGGGTGGGTGCAGAGAGGCTGCAGAGCAGACCTCTGTGGCCCTGAGGTCAGCCTATTCTCAGGAAAGTTCCCCAGGAAGGGCTGAGCCCCAAACGGAGGGCGGGTCAGGGTTCAGGAGTCTGGGGAAGGGGAGCGGTTAGCTGAGGGGTGGGGAAGGGGAGCAGGTGTTCCGTCCAGATTAGCCGGTGGCCGGACAGCCCAGCTAATCGTTTCTGCAGCCAGTAATGGGTTTGGAGAGTCTTTGTCCGACAGCGGCTGCGAGTAAACAGCGCCCTGAGTCTTATCTGAGCCCCGTGGGGAAGGGTGGGTCTCTGCAGGAGCCGCTCCCAGAATGCAGGGCGGGGAGCTTCCTGGATGCTGTTCTTTTCCAGGCTCCGGGCTGGTGTGAAGCTCCCATTGTCAGGATGGAGCAGCTCAGTGGGGAGGGCGGTAGAAATCCACAGACTTAAGGAACCCCTGGTCCCGCTGAAGACAGACTTAAGGAACCCCTGGTCCCGCTGAAGTGAAAGATAGGACCTGGTGATGGAAGAGGCGGAGCAGAGCCCCCGCCCGTGTAAATATTTGGAAGCTGCTTTTAAAGATTAGATTTCCTGCCGGTTTCCTCCCAGGGAAGCCGGACACTGTGAGATGCTCTGGCATCAGGAAGCCTCTTCCCAGGCTGCTGGCCAGGCGGAGGAGGAACACTTCTCGCTCCTCTCTCTCTCCCTCGATGAAAGAAAACGCTCTCGAAGCAAAAGTTTACGAAATGAATAAAATGGCGAGTCTGTGCGCATTGGCAGTGACTGATTGTTAGAATTAAGTGTAAGGGCTTCCTGTACAAAATTCCAGTCTAAAATCCGCTGACATGAACGCAGGAGATTCAAATAAAAGTTTAAAAATCCTTTCAATCCCAACAAAAAGGCAGGACATTTGACACTAAAGTGAGATTTCGAGATTGTGGCTTTGCCTGTAGATCAACTGAATCTTCAAACAATATACGTTTTATAAATTTAGGATAAGGTCCATCGAGCCTTGAGCCTTGTACTCGGAGCCGCAGCTGAGCAGTCAGACTCCTGTTCTCGTCTCCCAAAGGCACCGAGTGCTTCCCCAGAGACGCTGTCCCCTCGGGAACTGGAGCCACAGTTACCTGAGGCCGTGGGTACCAGTGTTCGGTGAAATGACCAAAACGACGGCCCTGGGAAGGTGCAGCGCTGCTGTGTACGATCAAAATAGAAGGCAGAGCCCGGCCGGCGGGGCTCAGGGGCTGAGCGCCGACCTATGGACCAGGAGGTCAGGGTTCGATTCCTAGTCAGGGCACAGGCCCGGGTTGCGGGCTCCATCCCCAGTGTGGGGCGTGCAGGAGGCAGCCGATCGATCCATGATTCTCTCTCATCGTTGATGTTTCTAGCTCTCCCTCTCCCTTCCTCTCTGAAATCGATGGAAATATATTTAAAAGAACGTATAGCATTTGTGGAAGTGCATTGGGACACCCACCAGGTCCCTGGGAGAGATCGCTCCAACACGCCCCCCTCCCCTGGGCTTTCGCTCTGGTCTTAAGGACACAGAGGGCCTGGGGCCGTTCCATCTGGGGGGGGGGGGGCGGGCGGCGCTCAGGCTTGTGGGGGGCAGAGGGCTGTCTCCCCTGCACCAGGCTCTGCACAGAATATTGTGGTGTCCCAGCACTACCATGATTGCTGCCGGGGATGTGTGTGTGTGTGTATGTGTGTATGAATGTATGTCTGTATGTCTGTATGTAGTGAGTGAGTTAATCCTCACCTGAGGATATGTTTCCTCCCCGTTGATTTTTAGAGAGAGTGGAAGGGAAGGGGAGAGTCAGTGGAGGTGGGGTATCCAGCCTGCGCCCAGGCACGTGCTGCCAACCAGAACCAAACCCATGACCCTTCCGTCGGAGGCCAATGCTCTAACCATTGAGCAACTGGCCAGGGCTGGATTTTAAAATGATTTATGGCTTGTATGTGAACGATGATTTCATCAGTTTTTAGATTAAAAAAAACCAAACTTTAACCTTGAAAGAATTCCAAAAAAAAAGTTGACTTTTAAAGGCACACGAGGATAAAAATGAAACGCAGCGGCAGCTGTGGTGCAGGTTCGAGTGGCTTTTCTGAGGGAGCGTGGGCAGCAGGTTGCCAAGCAGGAAGCGGCCGTCCATTAGCAGTCGCTCCGGAGTTTGAACTCGTCTATAAATACCAGTGCGTTTCCTTTGGCAAATCAGTTTTCCAACCTGGAGGTGCCGGGCTTATTTAAAGAAATGATTGTTGATTCCAACTTTAAAAAAAAAAAATGTAAGCCCACAAAAGGTAACATTTATGGAGTAATTAATACTAGTTGGCCTCACGGTGTTTTGTCAAATGCAGTTACTGACAAATTTGGGGTTAAAATAATTCATGTAATGACTTCTACCTTCTTCAATGTTTATAATGTATTTTAAATGTTTACTAAGCAATTTAAACTTCCAGTTGGCTTTAAGCTTAGAGAGATCATGTTTCAATAAATTATGAACTCTATATTGTTTTATTGATTACATATATTCATTTATATTTTTGAACATTACTACGTATCAAATGAATTTATAAATTTTTCTAACAATATTTATAATTCATTATAATGGATCCTTTAGAAAGATAAAAGCAAAAAATATATATTGGTGTTTAATAAAGAAACTCAAAATGGGCCTTAAAAATCACTCTAACTTTCCCCTTTATATAATGAGATTATCTGTTTTCTTTTTACATTAAGTTTTAGATCTTTCCATACTTTAAAGATATTGAGAACTGCTGCCGTTCTGATCTTGTTCCTCTGTATGTAATGTGCTTTTTTTTTTTTTCTTGCCGCTTTTAATATTTCCTCTTTCTCCCTGGATTTAAGCAATTTGATTTTGATATGTGTGTAGTTTTCTTGTTTCTTGTATTTGGGGTTTGTTAAGCTTCTGGAATCCTTGGGTTTATATTTTTGGAGAATTTTCAGCCTTTTTTTTTTTTCAAATATTTTTCTGCTCCTCTTCTCTCTTTTCCTTCAGGGACTGTTTGACAAGTTGATGTTTTTCCACAATTTAGTGGCCCTCCCTCCCTCCCTCCCTCCCTCTTTTCTGTCTGTTACATTTCAGGTAGGTGAGTTGCTGTGTCTGTGTCTTCAATCTCACCACTCTTCTCTTGCAGTGTCTTATCTACCATTAGTCCCACCTAGTGTATTCTTTATGCCCCACATTGTGGTTTTCGTTTCTGGAAGCTGGAGTTGGTTGCTTTTATATCTCGTCTCTGCCTCTGATCACCTGCTTCCTCTGTGCCCAGCTTCTTGAGCACGTGGAGTGTCTCCGAATGCCTGTGGCTGCCACCACTATCACCCGTGTCATTCTTCTGGATCAGTTTTCATTGATTTTTCTCCCCATTATTTTTTTTTTCTTTTTCGCATGCCTGATTCTTTTTTTTATTAGTTGCCAGAAATTGTGGATTTTACCATGTTGGGTATTGAATACTTTTGTAGCTCTTAAAATATTTTTGAATAAAATTTTGGGATATAGTGAAGTTACTTGGAAAAGGTTTAATTTGGGGGGTCTTGTTGTTAAGATTTGTTAAGTGAGTCCAAAGCATCATTTATTTTAGTTTTCATTTTTTTCTACGTATGAAGTAAGACAGTTGTTAGTCAATCCAATCGATGTCCTATGGGTTGTGACAGGTCCCGCCCTTGCCGCTGGCTCTTGTGTGAGCAGCAGGCACTGTTCCCTGTAGACTCTCGGTGGCCTTTTCCCAGTGTTGGTCTGCTTACTAGATTTCCCCCCTCAAATTTGCAAATAAATATCATTAGTGACAGATGTGCAATAGAAAAAAATCAAGAAAATTTAGGAACTTTGGAGGAATTCTACCTGCTGGGCCACCCATAAATTTGAGTCCTCATGTTTATTCTTACCCCGTGTCCTTTGGGAGATTGTTTGCAAGTATTTTAAAAGTTTTAAATGCATTTGCTTAAAGGAGTTTGGTCAGCACTTCTTCACCGATTCTTTACGATCTTGTTATTTCTGTAGGGCATAAAGTGTGCTTGAAGCGACCTATTCGGCTGACCCCCATCATGAACCGGGCTTTTAGCAGAAAGAAAGGTAAGTGTGCCCATCTGATGGCCCTGAGGTCAGTTCAGCATTAATTCCGATGAAAGTCAAATAGCGATGTGAAGCCGCCAGTTCTTCCTGTTATCAAACCAGGGGGTTCAGGAGTGAAGTGAGACAGAGCACACGCACTTGCAAACATTGCCAGGTAACCCCGTTTGGTTGTCACCCTAGCGCAAGAGAGGAATTGTTCAATGTACCTGGTTCAGAATGCATTTGCGATGGTGAGCTCTCTGGCATTTTTACTCTGTGGTGTGAAATTGCAAAAATTAAAATGATCTGAAATCACTTCAAACTTCACCTATGTAGCCAGAAACCACTAACTTCTTTGAGTTTGCATAAGTTTACCTTGATTTAAATTCACTCATGTATGTGTATGTGTGTGAGTATGCTTTGCTTTTTTTTTTTAATCCTCCCCTGAGGATACGTTTAGAGAGAGGAAGGGAGAGAAAGAGACACATCAGTGTGAGAGAGAAATATCCATTGGCTACTTCCCATAAGTGCCTCGACCAGAGATCAAACCCATAGCCTAGCTATGTGCCCTGCCTGGGATCGAACCTGCAACCTTTTCGGTGGATGGGACGCTGCTCCAACCAACTGAGCCACCGGCCGGGGCTGCTTCACTTTATATTGAATAATATGTGAGGATGGATGATAGGTGAATTGATAGCAATGAGGCCAAAATAAGTTCGTTAGTAATTTTAAGGTAGGGATTTAAAATAAATATAAATGTAATAAAATTATCAGTATTGGAATGAAAGAAACAGTGTCATTTATATATTAAGGGGGAGGAAAACATGGCATTTTACCGACTACGATGCACTCAGAGGAAAGACAGAACACTTCGCTAGTGTTACCTCCTTCAGGGCGGGTAGAATAATGCGTCCAGAAAATGGCTGAAGAATCAAGTCGGCAGGGTCGTGACCACAGTCCCAGTTCATTTTCTAATGTGTGACTAGTGACTGTTCTGTTCCATTCCACGCTGTTGGGAACAGGTTTTTTAAAAATATTTTTTTATTGATTTCAAAAAGGAAAGGAGAGGGAGAGAGAGAAACATCAATGATGAGACTCATCGATTGGCTGCCTCCTGCACGCCCCCTACTGGGGATGGAGCCTGCAATCCAGGCATGTGCCCTGACTGGGAGTCGAACCTGGGACCCTTCAGTCTGCAGGCTGCCGCTCTATCCACTGAGCCACACCAGCCAGAGTGGGAACAGTGTGTTTTCACAGTTGACTGACACGTGGAAGCTGCCCGATGAGAAGGGCTGGGATGACAGTAGGACTTCCAGCCACGCAGCAGGGAGCCGGGCTGAGGACCTGGGCCTGGTCATGGGACTCGCCTTTCAATGTTGGAGAGGCGGTCATGTGGTCATGAGACCAAGTTAGATAAAGGACAAATAGCGAGAAATGATGTGGTCGTTGATTCAATGTAGGAAAACATTTCAACCAAGTTGTGCGGAAACATAATGGGATCACTCCAGGCCCCGCCTTCTCTGTGAGGAAGCCATGTGCTCGTCTGGCTGGGTGGGGAGGACTCCACCTTCTGTGGGGGTTTAGGTGATGTGACTTCCCGGTGCTTCTGGGCCCTGGGGAGCTAGGAAATTATCATCTTACTTATCTTTTCTTGATAAGGGTAAGGCTGGGAGACATTTATTGTGGCCTGTAGCTTGCTTCTGATTTAAAACATACGCCAAAAATAAAACAATGTTGCTTTCTTAATTCCTTTACCAGTAAAACAATATCTACAAATAATTATGTGGTAATATAGTCATAAAACCCGATATCTCAATTCATTACTGTAGTCACGCTATCTTTTAAAAACAAACACAAAAAATCCTCCTGGACCTTCTCTTTTTATTTGCTTGCAATTCCCTTTCCCGTGGTTTTATTTATTTTAAGTATATTTTTATTGATTTCAGAGAGGAAGGGAGAGGAGGAAAGAAACATCGATGATGAGAGAGACTCACGGATTGAGTGCCTCCTGCACGCCCCACACTGGGGATCAAGCCCGCTACCCGGGCCTTGCGTATTTTGTCTCATTTGAAGACTGTGGGAATATGACCACAAGGAAAATTAACGTGATTTAGAGAATCCTGAAGCTGAAATACTTATTTCCTACTTCGTCTCATTCTCTTTGCGTTTCCTGTTATTCCTCTTACTTTCCAGGTCTCGGGGTTACACACACTTAGGCAGCGACTGATCAGCCTGTCACTCTAACTCCGAGTGGGCCTGGGCGCGGGCGTCCTCCTGAGGTCCCCGTCACGCCGGACTGTCTCAGGCAGCGAGGCTGTGAGAGCAAGAGCTCTTAGAGCCGCCGCTCCCAGGTCCCGCCAATACTGCTGTTGGCTTGATTGGCGTTTGAGTTGGAAACCTGGAGCCGTACGAGGGAATCCCTATTACACCTGACACTTGGGAGTTGAAGGGTAGCCCTAGCGAGTATAACATCTACTTCACCTGTCCGATCACTAGCCCCAGCACACAGTGTGTCCTCTGCTCTGACACAGCCAGGCGGTCCCCTGGGGTGAAGCTCACCATGTCACCGCGGTTCAGAGCTGACCAGGCCCCGGCCGCAGCCTTACCGGGTCACCTGGTGCCTCGGAAGCCAGGGAACAGGCTGCTGCCCGAGATCCCCACAGAGTGGCTTTCCTCGTGGTCCCCAGCCACCCGCCTCGGGTCGGGGTGTGTCTGCTGTTCCCCGAGTGGGTAGCGGGCACCGCACTGGTTTAGCTCCAGATCCTGATGGTGCGGGGCAGCTCCCGGGTCTGAGAGAGACCCAGTCCTCATTCAGCAGTTGTTCGTCGTTCTGTAAAAACCAGTCCACCTTCGTAATCATTGATTACATTTTAACAAATGTATTTGTTATGTAACTCCTTTCCTTACCTTAGCTTTCTATCTGAATTTTTTAAAATAAAAATTTATTTCACAAAAATGAAGAAATTTAGTAACAAAACATATGAATATAGCATGTGAACAAATGTGATTAAATAATTTAACTAATTACACTTTATTTTTCTTAATACTTAACATACTGGAGAGTAGATACAGTCATAGTGCATAGCACTTAGATTTCATTTTAAAAAAATATATATTTTACTGATTTTTTACAGACAGGAAGGGAGAGGGACATAGAGTTAGAAACATCGATGAGAGAGAAACACCAATCAGCTGCCTCCTGCACACCCCCTACTGGGGATGTGCCCGCAACCAAGGTACGTGCCCTTGGCCGGAATCGAACCTGGGACCCTTCAGTCCGCAGGCCGACGCTCTGTCCACTGAGCCAAACCGGTTAGGACATAGCACTTAGATTTCAGTGTTTAAGTATTATTTCTCTTTAGATCCACTCATATGCATCCTTTCATCCAACAACATTTTGTTTGACTAAATGTTAATATTTTTTGCTTTTTGCTCATTTAGGCATTCCACAAAATATTTGGGATGATATGTGGAATGTATAAAGTTTAAAAATGGAATGAAAAGTATATTTTATATTTCTGTCAAGAATATACAATCCAAATTAGTTTCAATGTCTTCTATCCTTTCAGCTACTTTTATTTCTAATATTCTGTTACTTTAATCTAAAACGTTTCAAATTAAGATTATTTATATAAAAAACTGCTGATAGTGGATTCACAATTAATGTTTCTCTAAGCTTAGATTAAAAAATCATCCTAATATCATATTGATTTCTAAATGGACCTAAGTAGGTTGACTTATTTCTGTTTTATATAAATCCAGTTATTAGTTTAATATTAAAATTTCCCTTTATTAAGTTGTTCATTCTTTGCTAAATAATGAATAAAGAGAAAATGACTTTTTTCATTAGAGAATCAAGAAACATAACCTGTAATTTATGAGAGTAAAATGAGAAAGTTATCACAAAATTAATCACATAATTGGTGTCATTACTCAGAGCCCAGGGGGCACAGTAACATTTGCATTATTTGAAAACACTTGGCAGGAAAAGCAGGGACCTTTAGATCAAGGAGAGGACGCTGTGATCGCTTTCAGTCCCTTTGTTCTTATGTCTGCCTGGGGATCGGAGATGCTCTCCCCACATGTGCTAACGCGTGAGTGACGCCCTCAGAGCCTGTGATTGAAGTTAACGCTGTGTGTTCTCATTGCAGACAAAACATGGATGCACACGCCTGAAGCTTTATCAAAACACTACATTCCCTACAATGCAAAGGTAAAGCAGTTCCTATAATATCACTGAATTTTACTTGTTACGTATTTGTGATGACATTAGTCATTCCTGGTTGATCTTAGAAAGTTTGTTTACGCATTGGCATTTCCTGGTGTATGATCCCTGAGAAAAATTTGCATAAATGAAATCATTTTGTAGGGTATAGCATGGGAAAGTTATTTTTGTCTCCAAATAAGTGATTTTTTAAAAGCGGTATTCTTCACAGTTTCTGTTTATGTTATGCATGTGTTGTCTTTAAATGATTTGGGTTCTTGTTAAAGTGACTTGCAGAATCATGGTCTGTAGGAAATGAAATAACCAACAAATGAGTGTCCTTGAAACATTTTAATGTTGCATTACACCGGAAAATATAGAAACTAACCCGGGGATGAGAGAAATGAGCTGCAGTTTTAATGAATGTAATTTTTCATGCCAAAAAGGGGACAAACAAAGCTTAAACCATTAAGAAAACAAACAAAAATCATTTTGGGGGCGAAGCTTTTGTTCAGTTGCTGCATTTTAATACATAGAAACAACCTATACCCCATGTCTTCAAAGACTCGATTCAGTGTTGGAAAACTGGAGGGATGAATGCAATGAACGGAATGGTCTTTAAAGGAAGGTGTTATTCCCGGCCGGTGTGGCTCAGTGGTGAGCACCAGCTTGTGGACCAGGAGGTTGCTGGTTTGATTCCTGGTCAGGGCACATGCCCAGGTTGAGGGCTCGAGGGCTTGATCCCCCGTAGGAGACGTGCAGGAGGCAGCCGATCAATGATTCTCTCTCATCGATGTTTCTCTCTCTCTATCCCTCGCCCTTCCGCTCTCTCTAAAAATCGATAAGAACATTTTTTTTTTTAAGTATTAATTTGGTGTTAGTGAACACCAAACCTGAAGTAGATTTCAGAGAAATCTATGTGGGAGAGACGGAGATGAATTGGAGAGCTGAGTTTGGGAGCGTGAGAGTGTGACAGACTCAAGTAACTCACCGGGGAGACTGTGGGGAAAAGAGAAAATGAGAAAATTATTTTCATAAGAGAATGTAAGAGCTTGCGGGTGAGCAGACCGGGTGCTGGGATAGAATGAGATGGGGTGGGAGGCATTATTTCAGGAAAAACGTTTTTAAAAATTCATGGGACAGAAAGTCGATGGGGCTTAATGGGGCCGCTCTGGAGGGCTGGCCCGCGCCTGAGTCAGCACAGGAAGCACTTAAACGGCCGCCTGGACGCCCCAGAGCTGCTCCCCAACAGTGAACTGGCAGAGGGAAGCAACTAGGGCTTTTTGTTGACTTTGCAGCAAAAAGAAAAAAAAGGTTTAAAATATTTTCTCTGTAAAACCCATACACTTGAAGTCACCGCCCTGCTTATGAATGGCTCCAAGGTCCCGTGAGGATTGTGTTGCCAGGACGGAGCCTGGGAAGCTTATTGAACTGACCGGGAGAACTGCCTTGTAGGACCCTCCTCACCTGCAGACAGTCTTCATCGGCCCTTGAGAGACTGTGAAAACCACACAGAAAATAATGTAGAAAAGCACGTCATTGCACGGAGCTGGCTCCGTTTTGTGTGACACTGTTCCCGATCGTCGTAGGATTCTGTCCTTCAGGGGAAACTGACCACAGACTGTGTATTTTTATATGTGATTGAAACGTCTCATGTTGAAAAGGGGGTTTCTATAGGGTTGAAAGGTTCCAATTAGAACTACCTTTTTAAAAAAAATATATATATTTTATTGATTTCAGAGAGGAAGGGAGAGGGAGAGAAACATCCATGATGAGAATCATGGATCAGCTGCCTCCTGCACGCCCCACACCGGGGATTGAGCCTGTAACCCGGGCATGTACCCATGATTGGAATCGAACCTGGGACCCTTCAGTCCGCAGTCCGACGCTCTATCCACTGAGCCACACTGGCCAGGGCCCATTGGGCTACCTTTAACTTGAACTCTGGGCCACTGTGACCATGGATCTGCTAGTCCACGTGAAGACGTTTCCTGTGCTAATTGACAGGCGTGAGACAACTGTACGTCACCTACTCTGAGTTTTCAGGGAGCAAGATGCCAATGCGTGGGTCACCTTCGCCCTAAAGTCACCCGGAGAAATGCAAGGGCGTCGGTGCAAACCCTTGCAGACTGAGGAAGTTTTACGAGGAAGAAGTTAATGAGGAGAGGAAGTGACATTATGTGGCCTAATGAGTCATGGCAGAGAGAAGTTGTATTAGAACAAGATCATGTTGCTGATGCTTCTCGGATTATTTTTGGTGACTATGTGATAAATTACCCTTCAGCGCAGTGTTCCTATTGGTTTACGAATTAGTGGAAGAGAGCTTGGATCTTAGAAATAAAGATATCGGCAGCCGCGCCAACAGAAGGAAGTCAGCAAAGAAAACAGTCACGTGAAACGTTCACGAGCATTCAGGTCGGGCAGCGGCCGCGTCCGTGGGAGCGATGGGTGAGACGCGCTCGGGCACCCGATGGGCCCGGAGCCCGGTTCCCGCTGCTGTGGAGCCGCGGCGCCAGCCTCGCGGACTCCGGACCACAGTGGCCCCGGCCCGCCGGTCGGTGACCGCGGCTCTAGAGCAGCCGGCAAAGCAGCGGCGTGAGAGTGTGCCGGCTGTGCTGGCTGTCGTTTCAGGGAAATGTAGAACACGTGAGGGGCTCCCCTGCCTTTCCCGTCCTTCCGTCCATGTGTTTAGCGAGGAGGCTCAGTCAGTTCATCAGCTCGAGGCACAGGAACCGCTTGACAGTGAACTTCGTAGGAGCCTTTCACTTTTCCTCTTAGAGCAGTGGTTCTCAACCTTCCTAACGCCGTGACCCTTTAATACAGTTCCTCATGTTGTGGTGACCCCCAACCATAAAATTATTTTCGTTGCACTTCATAACTGTAATGTTGCTACTGTTATGAACACCCTGTCCTTCCAGCTGTTCTTCTCCTGAGTCACATCTTCTCATCGGCCCCTTTTGACCAGCTTGGGGGAGGGCCAGGCTGGCCATTGGCGTGTGCGACTGACCCGCTCATGCGCCCGCTGCAGTCCTCACCCCCCTGGCGCTCCCACCGCTGTGACTTGTCAGGCACCTGTCCGTCCCCGTCCCTATGTCTGTCTCCGTACCTATGTCCATCTCTGTCCCTATGTCTGTCTCCATCCCTATGTCCGTCCATCCTGTGCAGAGGCAATGCCGTGACAACTCTCTCTTTTAAAAATGTGTTTGTTTTCATTGATGTCAGAGAGGAAGGGAGAGGGAGAGAGAAACATCAGTGATGAGAGGGAATCATGGATCGGCTGCCTCCTGCAGGCCCCCCACTGGGGATCAAGCCCACAACCCGGGCCTGTGCCCTGAGCGGGAATCGAGCCCTGCCCTCCTGGTTCCTAGGTTGACGCTCAGCCACCGGCCAGGCTATGCCAACTCTTTATAAACCGACCCACTTCGCTTCTCTCATGGCCCCCACTTTACAAATCAGGAAATCTCGGTTAGAGAAAGTGGAGCCGTGCCCATCGCTGCAGCTGATCAGGGGCGCCCAGACCCCAGCGTCTCAGAGCGCGAGGCCCCCCCCCCCCCCACCACCACCACCAGGGCCGCACGCAGCAGCCACCGGCGTCGGGACACAAGCCCTTGGTCTCTCCGTGTCAGCAGAGAATGTCTCCCTTCGAGAACTCTCTGTTCTGTGAGGAAGGTGTCCCCTGCTGATGGCTTCTGCTCTTCTGATGAGCAGTTTGTAGCAATTTACTCCTGAGAGCTCGCCAGGACCGAAAAGAACAAGCGTCCTTTGTCACTGCCTCCTTCCAGAACATACCTGCCTGCAGGCCGTCCCCGCTCCCCCAGGCCGACTGCAGACCCAACCTGGATCTCCCCGTCCCCGCCTCCTGGGCACCGGGCTTGCCAGGGCCACACTCCCACTTGTGAACGCCCCTCTCCTCAGACACACAGTTCCCACGGCCGATGCCAGGCACACTGTTCAGCGCCCTAATGCGTAGGGAGCCTTGGCCGGTGGGGAGGGGTGGAGCTGTGAGGAGGGGAGCTAGCAGGTCACACCGGCCTGGGCCAGGGGGAGGAGGGAGAGAGGACCTGGGGGAGGAGGGAGAGAGCCAGGGGGAGGAGGGAGAGAGGGGAGGGCACGTCTGAGTCTCTGGCAAGAGGTGCTCCCTCAGCATCTAATTTGTCGTGATCACACCATGGCTGTCAATGTGATTCTTTTTGGTTTTTTTAATGTTTTTATTGATTTCAGAGAGAAAAGGAGAGGGAGAGAGAGATAGAAACATCCATGATGAGAGAGAATCATGGATCAGCTGCCTCCTGCACGCCCCACACTGGGGATTGAGCCCGATAGACAAGGAATTGCAGTGGCATGTCACAAAATGCTTAAACAAGAAATAGGTTAAAAAATAAGTAGCTTACTTTCAACTTAGTCATGTTTATGATAACGTGTACGTGGGGTAAAGGTTTCTTTCAAATGCCAGCTCTGCGGTGTGAAAATAACACGTGTAAATACCTGATATATTAATTAAACATATGAGGGTGAATAAAAGTGCATGTCGTTCTTTTTCAGAAAACTAATCTACTGCAGCATCATCCTGTGTATGTGAAGGGGAGCGTTTTATAGGACTTGGAATTATCACCACTAATCGGGTTATTAAATTTTTAGACATGGTCCAATGAAACACAAAGATCTATGTTAATACCGGGATTAAAGCTTTCAAGTGGCAGCTGGAAAAGACTCTCAGAAGCTGCCCAGGAATATGAAGAGATTTATTTTTTTTAAGGCCAAGGGAAATCAAATAAAATCAGCAAATATGATGGTTAAAACGAACTAATTACACGTTACAGTGAGGATCCAGTGGTGCTGATTAGTGATGATCGCCAAGTGTTGGAAAAACACAAAAATAGATGTTTTTAAAAAGAAAGACAGCCCGGCCGGCCTGCCTCAGTGGCTGAGCATTGACCGATGAACCAGGAGGTCAGGGTTCGATTCCCGGTCAGGGCACATGCCCGGGCTGCCAGCTCCATCCCACTGGG